GGGGGTTCTTAGATATACGTTACCATTTTAAGTTATGAAATATGTTTATAAATGTGTTTTTTTAAAGATTGTTTTGTGTTTTGGTGCAAATTGTGAAATGTCAAAAATAGGTGTTTTTTCAAGTCGGTAAAGTAGATCTATTTAACTTGATTTAAAATTATTAATTAGTTTTGTTATTGCAAATATTTTATGATTTTGAAGTTCATTTTGGGGTTTAAAACATGATTTTTTTTTATAATTAATATAAATTGATTTTTTTTTGAAGGTTATTAAAAAATTATGTTAAGTCGGTAAAGTAGGTTTTACTTAAGTGTTGTTTAGTTTTTCGAATACGAATAAGGTGTTTTAATAAGTGGTAAATATTTATTTATTTTGATATAAAATAATCATTTTAACAAAGTTTATTGTTATTATTAATGATTTGTTGTTGTTTACGCGCGTTTTTAAGCCTGTAAAACAAAATCAATTCTTTTTTGTAAACTAACCTCAAAATGTCATAAATTGTTTGATTTTATTTGAATAATGAGTAATAAAGAGTGTGGATCGCCCTACAGTACAACTTGATGACCGTGTGTTAATCCAATTCGGAATATTAAATGGATTACATCGTCGAAATCGCTTCGTACTACATGCACATCACTCGTTAACAATTTCAAATAATCATATTATTCTTTAGTGCATAAATTTCCCAATGATAAGATGTGTTGTATTCGCCCGGGGCTAGAAACTTCTTAAATTTCGCCGGGAGGCTGCTACATCGATGTGCGATGAATACATCACCTAAAACTAAGACCAGCTAAAAGTTAGAACAAAGTGAGGTTAGATTTGATTGAGGAAGGTGATTTTTTGAGGGTTTAATGGTAATTTAGGAGTGTTGGGGGATTCTTAGATATACGTTACCATTTTAAGTTATGAAATATGTTTATAAATGTGTTTTTTTAAAGATTATTTTGTGTTTTGGTACAAATTGTGAAATGTCAAAAATTGGTGTTTGAAGCCGGTAAAGTAGATTTGTTTAATTTATTTAAAGTTGTTAAT